AATTTTGTCCTATGTCAAATGTTTTTAATTATGAGTACTTTATTTTGGATTATACATATATGTTAATTTTTTTACGGTGTCAGGTAATATTTGTCATTTTTTCTTTCTTTGGCTCTATCATATTTAAATTTTTTCTGTCTTTGGTTCGTGGATTATCAGGTTTTGATATTTTTTTAAAAACGTATTATACACTTTGGCTCTATCTACTATTTTCAACAAATTGTTTGTATGAAGAGTGGAACATATAAGGAAAAACATTTAGGGCATGTTTACTAACAGAGATATTTTCCTGTTTTCTACTTCTGTTTTTCGCTCTCCAGTTTTCTGTTTTTATTTTTCAGTTTTTCTATCTCCAATTTTCTGTTTCTATTTTTTAGTTTTCCTTTTTCAAATCTGAAAACATGCTCATCAATTTTTTCACCCAATTCTGTGATCATCCAGAAGACTGAGGGCACGTTTACTTCACGGGTTACTAAATGGTGCTTATTAAGACCCGCGTTAATAAGCGGCGCATAAAATAAGCAATGTTGTAAGATCATGTTTACTTCAAAAGGTTTAAAACACCGTTTAACATTAAAATGTCCAAAATAACCCTATACATATATAGACACATAAACATTCATAAACACAAATATATACTCCGTAATATAATATGTGGGGTCGATAACCTCGTACTTGTACCCATACCCCTAATCCATACCCCACACCTATACCTCGTACCCCCACCCTAGACCCTATACCCAATTCCACACCATTGACCCCTACCCCTACCCTTACCATGATCTTACACTCTACCCATACTCCCCCACAACCCTTCATACCCAATGCCTACTCGTAGGGGCCGGGTGGGGTGGGGTAAGGGGTATGGTCGGGGTGGGGTGGTAAGGTCTAGGGGTAAGGGTTGGGTGGGTTAGGGGTAAGGGTGGGGGTAGTGGGTGTTGGGGTAAGGTAGGGGTAGGGTAGGGAGTTGGGGTAAGATGGCAGTAGGGTGGGGCCGGGATCGAGGTGGTGCCGAGGTAAGGGAGGGGTAGGGTGGGGGTAGGATGGCGGTAAGGTGGGGGCATGTGGTAAGGGGTAAGGTAGGGGTAAAAGGTAATATACGAGGGGTGGGGGTAGGGTAAGGTGGGTCGGGGTGGGGTCGAGGTGGTAGGGGGGTGGCGGTAGGGTAGGGTGGATCGGGGTGGGGCCAAGGTAGGGGCATGTGGTAGGGGCTGGGGTAGGGTCATTGTAGGGAAAAGGGGTACGCGGGGGGTAGGGTGGGTAGGGTAGGGGTAAGGGGTAAAGTACGAGAATGGAGGTACCAGAATGGAATCAACATCGGGGCGGGACCGCACCCACCACTAGGGGTAAGTATGCAAATTCATTGCAATGGCACTGTAGCATCTGCGTTTTCCGAATTTGGAAAACTAGTAAAAGTCACTTCTCCAAATCATTAAAGAAAAGCGAGACATGTCTCATTTTTTTCGTTTTAGAAAACGATTTGGTAAACGCGTTTTTCTGTTTTCCTTTCTCCAGTTTTCCAGCAATTTTCTTTGGTAAACATGTTTCCTGTTTTCTGTTTTCCAGTTTTCCAGTTTTCGGAAAACTGGAAAATATCTCTGTTAGAAAACAGGCTCTTATGTTCCGGGGAAAATGTACCAGGAATGTTGATATCTTTGCTTTCATTGAAAAAAGGATAAAAACTTTATAAGCTAATTAGTTTTTTCAACATGTGCATTTTTGTTTAACCACATACGATAGTACATTTTAACAATACCAGCTGTCACGATTCAACCTAAAGTTTTTTTTGAATGGGATTAAACCTATAGTTTAAAATTGATAAAAAAAAAATAACTACAAAATTATAATTAAAATAAAGGAAGTCTATAAAAATGTGACATTTTAAGTGTAACGAATATAACAGTGATTTTAGTCATACTGCGTAATAATTTGTGGTCACTTTATACACTTAATGACCATAACACTATACTCATAAAAACTATAGTTCTATTTTTGTAAATAAATTTTATTTTTGAAGAAAAAATCTCAAAAAATAATATGCTCTCTGAAATGAGGTCACTACTTCATATTATTATCATTTCGATCCGGACACTTTACGTTCTTTGGGAATTTTCATATAAATATTTGTATCGAGTGATCCGCATAAAAATATGGTCAATACATCCATTAGGTGCATTTATGATCTTTCAAAACAAACATGCCAATATGAAATCTTTACGTAGTTGCATCAACTACATGCGAGGGAACAAGTTTCCTCATAATCAATTTCCAACATCTGAGAAAAGTATTGGACAACAAACCGGGCTTTATATCTTATAATTTCATTTTTCTCATTACGCTTGCACACAAAAACCAATTTAAAACCCGCCGATTTTACCACTTTTGACGTAGGATAATTGGCCCAAAAACTTCACGCTTTTTAATTTTGTCTGAATTATTTTGTTCGATTTTAGCAAATCATGTCTTTGTCGACACCCATCACTCGGTGTTGGCTCATTGCCATTGTTTTCATTCATGACATTCATAACAATGACATAAACATATATCTCATTAATATCAATATCTTTTAAATTTCATAGCATACCAGTAGTAATGTAATTTATTAATATCTCATAATTATTAATGTTTCTATCATTATTTGGATATTGATGTGTGTTTTCTCGCACTTTAAAAAGATTGTAAAATAGTGGTGTAAGTACGAGTATCGTCTCCACAGGGACGGACAAAAGGGAATCAAGAATTAATTAAATTCAGCGATTAAAAAGAAAATAAAATAAAAGCGTCGTGCGAGATTGGTTGGTTTGGAAAATAAAACTAATGCGAATAATTAAACTAGGGGGTTCTTTCTAATTAATGACGAAGGGAACCGAGATTGATTCCGGGTAACCGGATTTCTGGCAGATCAGGCCTAATTACATGAAATTAATTTAATTGAGCCTAGCTAATCATTACTAAGTTCTTACCGCTCTCGCGGCGTAGAGTACAATAATTTAGGGGACCAGGCTGATCTCTCATGCGACAGGATCCTAAATTATTGCCAAGACGAGCGAGCTTACGGCCCCTTAATCGCTACTAATCTCTTAGCGAACGATTAAGTGTGTGTGAATGTGTCCTAGAACAAATTAGATCTCTCTTAATTTATTCTACATGCAATTGTAATTCTAGTCGCGATTCTAGGTTACAAAAGATATCAATTAAATTACTCAAACACAAATTAAACGGCATTCATGCAATTAAACCGAAAAGAATCTAGCCATCAATCATGATTAACCCCTTCATCAATCCCAAATCCCTAATTAAACTACTCACAATTCATAATTGAAGAATCAATAGAATTGGGAAGAATAGAATTAATTGTCATTAATTAAAAAGATGAACTTACAAATAATCCCAGGGTCTTGGAGTAAACAATCGTAAAACGCAAGTAAATTCGTCCCTAGGCCTCTCCGTAATGTTCGTAACGTCAAAATATGATTAGGGGGGCCTTATTTATAGAAAAAGGATGAAAAATATGAATTTGGGTCGATTTGGGATTCAATTTCGCGTAACCCGGGTCTACGCACGGCGTGCGTACCCCCCACGCACGGCCGTGCGTTGCTGGCAGTGTCTCCCTTGCTTTCTCGCCTCAGACGCACGGTCGTGCGTTCCCCTACGCACGGCGTGCGTAAAACTTCCGAATTTGACAAAACTTCCTTCATAAAAGTTGTAGATAATGAAGTCCTCTATCCAACCCAATTTGCCGAATGTGATTTGAATCATCCAATCAAGAGATATGATCAAAACGGTGGAAGGTGTCTTTCTGAAATCGCAACAGAGATCATCTGACTTTATCGTCTGTGTTCACCTTCTTCCTCTCAGATTCTCGCAAAGATGTCTTCATATGATTTGTAGCCCTTGAAGTTGGCTTTCTTATGCAACTTGAATCGTGTACATTGGATGTTTCTACAAAGAGATATGCTTGAACGATTGACAGAAGGTCATTCTGATCGTCGTTTTCAAGCTTCATTCATCTTCTTTTGATCCCGAAGCCAAATCCTAGAGCTCTTTTTCCTTCAAATCTTCATCGTGAATCTTCCGGTGACCTCCAAATCTATCAAATGATTCTCAAATGCTTCTCAAATCATCCCGATTGTTCCTCAAGTGCCGGTGGCGGGCTCAAATTCCCTGATTTTGACTACAAACAACACAAAACTCGAACCAACGCCCGGTAAACATAACTTGAGCTAAAATTGAGACTTGCAACACCTTAAAGCTGGGAAAACCATCAAAATCCAACTCCAACACGCATCAAATGTGTGTCTAAATACGGACTTATCAGATATCTTCCTCATATAAGAAAGTTGAATCTTCAATTGAGATTTTGATTTGTTGATTTGTTGATTTCTATTTTTATGTTCAACATGTTTCATTTTATTGGTCAGAAGGATAAAAATCTTTGACATCACAGGTCAGTTCATATTTTTTTGTCTTTCTTGGTTTTACACTTTTACGTATTTTGAAGTTCAAAATTTGAACCCAGCGGTCTCCCACGCTTTTTTTGCGTATTATGAGTGGTTTTTCGGAACTCTCTGACGGGATTTTGCTTCTGGCATGAACGCTCATAACAGATTTTTTTGACATTATCACTTCTTTTTGCAACATTTTGTAAGTCAGTTATCTTTTGAACATCTTCATTTCATCATTTGTATTTGTTGTTGAACCAAAATGGCACTATCATGTTACATTTCACGTAATATCTCTTATGCTTCATTTATGTTTTTGTTGTTTTTTAGCATTGCTGTTGTTCTTTTTGTTTTTGAACTCGCTTGGAACATTATTGATGTTCTTTTGAAAAAACAACAATGAACTAAATAGTCCAAAACAATATCTTCAGAACAAGACCGGCCCGAAACCATAAATACTAAATAGGCTCAGGTCCGACTAAAATTTGTTAGGACTGGAGTCAGCCCATGTCCTTGGCCACAAAGCAACAACTAGATCGGGAATTTTAAAATATTGATTTTATGTATAATAAAGTATTAATGATTGCACATGTGTGTTTAAACCTGATAATAAATAAAATCACTTATAAAAATCTACCAATTTTAGAATAGATAAAACTCAAACTACAACTCCAACTCGACTATTCTTTTTTCTTTATCATGCACTACTCAATCCAAGACGAAATCCAATTCAGCTTGGTTGATTAACACCCTAGGTGGGACCTAGACTGGGTTCACATTGTCACAAGTGCAGATTGCATTTTGTACAGTGAGAAAATAGTCCAAAGAAAGAAGAGATTCTTTTATTTATTAAGATGAAGAACTGAACGCACATTAAGACTTGAGAGTAGCATTACATGATAGCAGCTGTTCAAGAAACAGTGAGGAGAATTTTGCCAATGTGATTGCTGCTCTCCATCAGCCGGTGAGCCTCTTCTGCCTTGGCCAAGGGGAAATGCTGGTAGACCACAGGTTTGACCTTTCCTTCGCCGATTGCAGGCCAAACATTCTTCACCACTTCGCTCACTATTGATGCTTTGTTCTCCCCACTTCTGTTCCTTAATCCAGCAGCTACAAAAGAAAATAAAAGCCATACCATCAATTTCTCATTAAACCACCTGTAAAAGGCCTTATTTACTTCGGCAGTGTTTGCCACGTTTAGAGCTTTTTAGAGTGTCAAGCACCATACAAACATTAAAAACTACATTACAAAAGAAAGTTAAGCATAAATGTAGGGACTAAACTTTGTTTAATGTTTGGTTCTGAGTACTGAAGTGATTTTATTTTGGTTTTAGGGACTCAGAGCATTTTTCTATCAAATCTCGTTTAAAAAGTTTTACATGCAAAAGCAATTATGTACAAATGTACAAGTAAACAATTACAAAAGGTAAGTTATGCATTATATGTGTATACGCCAAAAAGAATGAATTGATACATATGACTTTATGAGGTTATAATAAATACGGAGTAGTTTTGAAAGCACATTTTAATTTGATGATAAATTAATTTTAGAAAATAATGATAAAAATATTACTAGTACTATTTATTATTTTCAGAAGCTATTTCCATCATTTGCAATGGAGCAAAAATTTACCTATTTTTGGCTTGGGAATACGATGGAATAAAGCAAAAATGCTCTCTAAACTGCCTGCGCTTCTTTGTTAAGCAAAATGGCTCTCTAAACTGTCTGAGCTTCTTTGTTATGAAGCAGCAGTCAGTCCATGCATATTTTGACACCATGGGTCATCCGAAAATAGTCTCCCTATGCTTTTTAGTACAGGGGTAAGGCTGCGTACATCCGACCCCCCATTACCCCACCATAGGTGGGAACCTTTGCGGCACTGGGATAATGATGATGAATGAATGATTATTTTCAAAAGATAAAAATATGACTAATATTTTTTTAAAACTCGACTAACCTTTGTTTAAACACTTTAAATTTGACGAATAATGTAATAAAATTGGAATATAGCACATGCCAAATCAGTTTATTGTGTCATTGACAATTCTTTTATGTCATACCAAAATTGGACTTTTTGGTCATTTTCCTAAAACTAATTTATAGTCGAACTAAAAGCTCATTTGATAACACTATAAATGGTTTGATCAGCTCAATCTATTGAAATTTCTGAAAATCTAAGAAACAACTAAATTACGAAAAAAAATATTTTAAATATGTTTTATTATAAAGTAAGGGAATGACTAATGAAGGAAGACCGTTTAAGGTCAAAACCAGAGGAGGAATGCCGAGGGGCACTATTAGTATAAGAGATGTGGCAAGGACCACCCAGGAGTGAACTCCGACAGGAAGTTATCAAAGTGTTTTAACTGCAACGGGTTGGGACACAGATCGTGTGAGTGCATCTCGAAGAAGGCAGGCATGACCCAATCAAGGGCAAAACCAAGAAGGAGCAAGGCCGGAGGGGGCCCAAACAGGACCCAATGGTGGCCGTGACAACCACAACAACAATAACAACTGCAACTCGGGGGGAACAGACAACAGCAGGAACCAGGGTAATCGCGGAAACAACGGCAGCAAACCCAACCAAGACCCCGAATCTTTGTGATGAATCAAGCCCAGGCGAACACTCAGAATATTGTGTACTGTAAATTCTATGTCTGCTCATGATTGTAGGGAAGATTTAATTAGAGCCTGCCAATAGTTAGAATTAAACGTGAGAACAGCACCAAGTAGGATAGTAACATGTGGGAATGTGTACTTGAATGGAGGATACTATATCTGATAAGTCAAAGCAGGAGATGCCTAGTATGGCTTAGAACAGTCTTACCAACCACAACTCTTAGCGACCTTCGAAATTGGCACAAAGTTTAAGAAATTTCTATAAAGCTTTCTTGTTCCTGTTTTTGCTCTTCGCTGCCGACAACTTCTCTCTCATGCCACTTCTTTCTACAAACATCTATGTATAGTATTGCTTATCTAACTGGTTTTCCTCTCTCTTAGATTTCTTTAAATCCGTAATTGGAGCCTCCCCCCAACACTTGCTCTTATTACTGATTTTCTATCGTCCTATCAGATTGACGGAAGTACAGAGCAACAGATTTGCATTGTCGCAGTTTAGGATTTCTAGCTGGAACTCCAAATTAAATTAAATTAAACATAAGAGGAAAAAAAAAAAGGTGACGAAAGGAAAAAGCTTGATGAGAAGGGCTGGGGGATTGGGAAAGGGAAGAAATGATGTCGCATAATTAAATTAAATGAGTTTAAGCGTATCATCGTCATTTTGGTTATTTGTTATTACTAAAAGGGGAAGTATTGCAATTATTTTAAAATTGCCAAAAGAGGAAAGTGTTGCAATTATATAAGAATGGAGGAAGTACGACGTCAGCATTTAATCGGGGCCAGATTAATAACAGTGTTTCATGATAAGAATGTACAGAGTATTTATTTAGTAAATTACTACCACTATTCTAAATTATAATGTTGGCAATTTTCCTTTTTGGTTGTCCCACTAATTTATGTTGGTTCTACTTCATTCTTAAAACTCGTTAGATAACACTGAAATTGACTTAATATACTGGAAGTGTTTACATTCTGCCTGAAACGATTGAATCTGCTAAGTTATGAAAAAACATGTTTTATTAATAAAATAAAGAAAATTGTATGATAAAACAAAAAATAATCCTATTTGGCAAATTCAACCAATTCAGAATAGTATCAATCACATGACTCTATTTTTCTTGATAACTGTACCACCTCATGCGAATGGAGGTAATAGACATTTATAAAACCCGCCTTGAAACAAGAATGCATGGGCCTTGATGAAATAGTTACTTTCGTTTAAAAACTTGGTTTGGATGTGCAATATCTGCAGTGAACATGTAGGTACAAAGAGATGTAGGGATTTATGATAGTACCTTGAACCGTGAGGCGTCTTGCAAGCAAACCTGCAAGATTCACCTCTGTAATAGTGCCTCCCATGAAGCCAATGATGAATAACCTCCCATCAACATTAAGGCTGTCAATGTTTCTCTGAAAGTATGGCCCTCCAATGTTATCCAATATAACATCAACACCTTGCAAACCGCACAATTATATCATTCTCACCACAAACTCAACATAACATGCAACTCAAAATCCGGTATTAATGCAAAGGGCTTGTTAGGGGTTACGCATTGAAATATTAAATAAAGACATATGAGTTTATAAGGTTGAGAGCTAGAGTAGCTAATTCATTAGATTCATTAGATTCAATCTTCTGGTAGACAGTGTGCATTAGGTCCAACTGAGTGAGTGCGCCAACCCAATTACGAAAACTGTGTCGAACAACAAATATAGTTACAGTACATGTTTACCCTTACAGCCTCATATCATATTTTTTTCATACTGCTAATTTATTATATTTATGGCATTACTGTTTACCTTTTCCGCCTGTTTCTGTATTCACACGGGTGACAAAGTCCTCAGTTTTGTAATTTATGCAAACGTCTGCTCCAAGATCCTTGCAAGCAGCAAGCTTTTCCTCGCTTCCTATATATTATGTAGATGTTTCCTTAATGGGTACTTATAACTTAATTAAAAAAACAATACAGTTCTACAAATTGACCTGCTGTGACAAATACTTTCACTCCAATGTACTTGGCCATTTGAATGGCAAATGTACCTATTCCACTAGAGCCCCCATGTATCTGAAATTCCATTGCACATTGTCATGTTTTTTTATCGTTTGCACATTGTCATGTTAAATAATACAAAAAGGTAATACCAAACAAAAACAATAAAATATAGAGGCTTTTTAAAGAAATCAAAGTTCACGACATTCTAAGCATTCAATGAATGGTTTTCAATCATTCAAGTCCTATATTATTAACATTCATCTTCAAAGTCTTTGATTGATATTTGATAATTAACATGTCTTTCTAGTCTTGAACTGAAAAACTTATTGTGTGTTTCCTGCCTTAATTATCACATTTTTTGTTTGAAATTTCTGTACAAGTTTGTTTTGTTTATTCATCTCTACGATTTACGTCATCTTTTTGTACTCCCTCTCCGCCAACCTGCTTTTGAAAAAACTAAAGTGGCTCACAAGAACTCCAGGCTGGTAGACTTTAGTCTGGCTTTTCCATATCAACTTTCTCTGGCCAATGCACTACTGATAGGAGAGTTAGCGCTAAGCGAAGTTCATCATTCTCACTTTCAATCAATGCATTTAGTTAAAGAAGGAAGACTAGAGTTATGTGGCCACGTCAATTGTTTTTAAGAATATTAGCAAGGAATAACTATAAAGAAGATTGCATAAATAAAAAAAATAAGAAACACATAAGCCTAAAAATAAAATAAATAAAAAACGCTACATCTGCTGATCTGCAGGTATAAAAAACATATACGTAGTATAAGCCAAAGGTGAACAAAGATCCTAGTTTTTAAAGTTAACTATTGAAATCTTAAAATTGTAAATGGTAACTTCGAAGTACTACATACTACATATCATGATAGATAATGGTTCTTACTGCAAAAATTCCATTTAATTTTTGATTGCCGCAAAACAACACTGATGGTTGAAGAGTAAAACCTAAAGAACTTTTTGAGAGAATAAGACTAGGTTACCAAGAAAGTTTCCCCGGAGCATAGATGGCTAGTCATAAAGACAGTTGACCAAACCGTACAAGCCACTTCAGGGAAACTGGCTGCATCGTGCAAAGAAATGCCAGGTGGAACAGGAAAAACCTGCCTAGCTGGCACTGCAACTTTCTCTGCATAGCCTCCACCACCAAGAAGAGCACATACCTGTGAAATATACTTCATCAGATAGTTGTCTTATCCCATAGTTTTTGGAGGTAAAAAATAACTAGATAAATAAATACCAATCAGCTTTAAAAGAAATGTCACAAATAACATAACCAGTGGCCAAAAAAACAAGCCAACAGTGATACTTCCTAATATTCCCATGAACCCTGGTTTGGTTGGATGATTTAGGACTTGGGAAGGAATTGGGATGAAAGCGGAGGGCGTAAAGACCTTCAAACTGCTAATATTTCCATGAACCCTTGGGTTGATTTTTTTATGGTTGGCTGATAAAAAAAATCAACATTGTTCTATGTTGTAATCATTATATTACAATGTACGGAGTAATTTATTTACACAGAAAAATATACTCCCGACCCAATAAAGTGTCTGTCATAGGGGGTTTCACACACCATAAGCAACACATCAGAATACCTAAAAGACTGAAATAGAGACTTTCCTTAATTCCTTAAAACAGAATAGGAAAATTTGTAGACTAGACCCTGTAAATAATACATTTATCTACATTAAGAACTTTTCCATCATATTGTAAATATTACAGTGGAAATTTGCACACCGTCAGCGGCTGGGAAAAGTCTTAAAATAGACAAAGTTATTAGTTATACAACTAAATTTATGGGACAGTGAAAAGTTATCAGCAAATCTCCAAGTTTAATAAAACATACTCTGTATATGTTTGCCCTAAATTGGGGTGACTGTTCTATACAAGTAAGGTTGACTGTATAAACAAAAATACTCCTAGGTATTTGATTTAGTTTTTAGTTTTTTACAATACAATTTTAAAATAATATCAACCATAGCCAGAGTCCAGCCTAATGTTGTCACATCTTGATGACTGCGGCCAAAGAATGTCATCTCGAAACCATACATCCATCATGATCCTGCACGCAGACTACATCGGTGAAGTACTGACTTCTGGATTCCGATTATCAAATGCATTCTTCCTTACCTGAGATCGACAGGTGACGAGCTTCCCCCCCTGTGGGGGTGACGCTTGAAATGGAAACAATTTATTTTATTTATAATTAGAAAATAAAACATTATTTGAAGTATGCCATTTAATGTTAACTATGGACATGGCCGGTCCTGTCCAGTTTTGGGCCTATGGGCGAATTACTATTTTGGCCTTATTTTCAAGACAACAGTAAATTATACTTCAAGTAAAAACTACGGGGTATAATAAAATCAGGAGAAATTACTCTAAATATGACTGAAAACGTTTGTATATTCCAAATTAAGATTATCATGTTTTTATTCCCTAAATAGAAGTAATTACTTTCATAGTTTACACGTGGTAGTATTTTCCGAACATGACAGTAATTACTCCTATTCAGAAAATAAACACACGACAGTTCTATTTTGAAATTCTCGATAAACAATTACTCCTATTTCAGGAATTATCCCTACAACTATATAATAAAGGTTACAAAATAGAGATGAAATTCACCCTCATTTTATTTGAATTGCATATTTGGACAAAAGTAACAACAATCTTTATAATTGTGAAGTAGAATTATCAATAATTGCTTTATAATCAATCTTTTCCAAGATCACATGTTCAATGTTTAAAATTGCTAATCCATTAAGTTTTTTTTAGGCATAATAGATAATTGGGATGATGTTTGAGAATTGGGAGGCACTGGCAACCCAAAGACAATAATATAAATTGGTAATTTTGTAATTAAAAGAATAAAAAATCTTAAAGGCTAAAAAGATGTGACGAGACGTGCTTTTATTGATTCAACAACAAATGTGTTGACTTACAACCAACTATATTTAAAAATCAAAACTAAATTTATATTCTTTTTTAAAACTTGTCTAGCTCTGTTCAACATTTTTTACTTATGTTTTAAAAGTCTCAAAGTGTCAACAAAAATTACACATTAGACCTAATTAATTAATTGAAATCATAAATAAAAAAAGAAGCCTACTCCGATTACATATAAAGAAAAAAACTCGGGCCTAATTCTCTTTCTACTTTTTTTTTTGGGCCTTGGGCGGTCGCCCCTAGGCCATGACTATGGAATGTTAGAAATGGAATAAGCAGACCTATTTAGGAAATAAAGAGTAGGGCTATTTGGTGGTGGACTTTAATGAGAAGTACCAGTTGTAGTTCTTGGAGAATGGAAAGCCAACCAAACCAATGATTTATAGGGATTATTACTGAAAGAGTAATATAAAATCCTCAAACTAAGCTAATTCATGAATTGAAGCTGTAATAAATTAGAAGATTGGGGGCGAGTAATGGGGTCTGGATATACACTCACCCTGTCACCGACTTTCCACTGGTTGACATTTTTGCCGATAGCTTCGATGGTGCCGGAACACTCGAGACCAGGGTAATGAGACTCGCCTTTGGGAGGTGGGTATTTTCCTTGACGCTGAAGGGTGTCCGCTCGGTTGAGCGCGGTGGCTGCCACTTTGATCAGCACCTCATCGTCTTTGATCTCTGGGTCTTCCACGTGTTGGATTTTAAGAACTTCCGGCCCGCCGGGGGTCGTGATCACCACTGCCTTCATTGGTTTAGCCGGACTTCTGATTGTCTGTCAAGAACTTGCGAATGAGGTTTTTAATTTTTACCAGCACTGCTAACTTGCGAATTTTTACAGAACTGGGAAAGATGACTGTTTACAAAATAGGGATTACAAAATAGATGAGGCTAAAGGAACAAATAGACCCTTGAACTAACTTAAAGTGTTCAATTAGCCCCTTATATAGGAGGTTCTTCCTGACCATCGACAATTAGGGCGGTTCCCGGTGTAATTGTTTGATGAATTTTTTTGAGCATCTTCTTCATTAAGTCTAGTTTACTCATACTAAATTCCAACTAAAAATTCAACCGGGAAGGCGGTCAAATGATTTTTTGAAGATAACTACGCAGTTAAACAACGCAGTACATTTCGGAAAATCATTTGACTACCTTCCCGATTTAATTTTTAGCTGAAATTTGATATGGGTAAACTAGACTTAATGAAGAAGATTCTCAAAAAACTTCATCAAATAATTTCACCGGGAACCTCCCCAATTGGCGATGACCGGGCTGAACCTCCAATATAAGGGGCTAATTGAACACTTTAAGTTAGTTCAGGAGTCTATTTGACCCTTTAGCAAAATAGATGATTGTCCAATTTTACTTTTCGGAAAATAGATTGTCTCGTACCAGATTTGGTAAAGTTTAGGTGGCTCTAAATTATTCTTACTTTATTTTTATTTTATCAATTTAATATCAAGCACACAAACACACTTTTCTTAATAATTGTGTCACCTTCTCTTGTCTCAGTCTTAATGAGACGGAGCCACGGAGGTAGTAAAAGTTATGGGGTGTATTTGTAAATATTAAAAATTATGGGGTATATTTATAAGGGTTAAAAGTAAAAGATTTTTTTTTTAAATATAATACATATATTACATTTTTTATCACCAAGATAGTCAGAAATGAATTCATAATTTATCTCCTATAGTGCATCTCAAAATATAAATAGTTCATTTTTTAAATCCGGAAGGCAAACCACCAAAATCAATGGAGTAAATCCTGCGAAGCATTTACAAATAAGAAATTGTATTAAATGGGACTAAAACATAATTAAAACTCCAAAATAGGACTTGAAGTTTTAAATTGCTTAGATGAGACTCCAGATCACCAGACCTGCAAGGACTTCCCCCTGCGACTCTGCTCGATCGCAACTCGACCTGCTATCATCGCAGTTGCTTGCTTGACGCCGGCCGCCACCTCTTCGACGATTCTTGCAGTGTCGCTACTCCGATCTGCCATCAACGACCTCTGCTACGATTTTCCAGTCAAGTCAGGTATGCAATCTCCTCCTCCCCCTCCTCCTCTTCTTCTTCTCGGCCTCAATTTTCTGGTACTCTGTTATCTTGTTCTTTGGATTTCAGTTATACTTATAAAGCAGGGATATGAGAATGTCATAAAATTATCAGTAATTCGATGACTGTCAATTTTATGGCATTACATCTATGAGAAAATGCCAATTTTACTTTGAAATTTAAAATTTTAGAAAAATGCCATAATTGATGTTTAATCCAACACTTATTTGTAACAATGTCAAGTTTATGACATTGGGGGTGTTCGGCAATTAGTTGTTGGCCGCTAGCTGTTGGCCGTTTGTGTTGGCTGATAGATGACGGCTGATTTAGTTGGTTGTTTTGATTAGCGGATAGTATTAGCGGTTTGTAAAATAATGTTTGGTTAAATAGTTGTTTAGGGTTAGCTGATAATTTTCAAAATGACGATTAAGGATTAAGGACATAAATATCTTTTTTTGTTTGCATGGCATATTATACTTTTTAAATATAATTATAGTTATTACTACGTATAATGCTTTTACGTAGCCCATTATATTTTTACATATAATTACTTTTTACACAAAAAATCACCATATATATATTTCTTTAAATAAAACAAAATAGAGAAAAGTTCAGTTCCGAAATTCTGGACTGGAACCTCCGTCCGGACAGCAGAGTTTGGACCCCTTCCCAATGGAATTTTTTTATGAAATGTATTGGGGGTGTAAAAAAATTAAGCTAAAAAATTGAATCAGGAAGACAGTCAAATATTTTTTGGAAGATAACTTCGTTTTATATGTATATTTTGGCGCAGTTATCTTTCAAAAATTATTTGAGTGTCTTCCCAATTGAATTCTTAGCTAATTTTTTGTGGATAAATTAGACTTGACGAAATATATGCCCAAAAAAATTCATCAAAATATTCCATCGAAAGGAGATCCAAATGCCGCTGTCCAGAAGGCGGTTCCGGTCATGAAGGCCCGACCGGATGATTACTAATAAAATATATCTAATAGTAATTGTAAGAGATTGGCTGGTAATTATTGTATTTAACCTGCCTTGTTAATAGAACTTCTAAGAATAACCACATGTCACTCTCTGTGTTTAGAAATAATTGAATATACACGGTGGATATGAAATCAATCACGGAGTATTAAACAATAGGAAGTACATATATCCAAGTGAAACAACTTAGCTAGACAGCTAGTCCAAAAAGAAGCAGAGTCATTTTACTTTAGAATTATTTTAATCTCTTTGAGTCTAAAAAAGAGAAGGGAGGCCGAGAGATGCGGAGTATTCTTATGGGAGAGAAAGAAATGGGCAGACAGGAAATAATGTAAAATAAACAGAACGGCCGAACCTAAACGCCATGTTTTTTGGCATTTTCAATTTTAGCTGTTTGACATAAAAAGCCAATTGAAAAGGCTGTTTTACCAAACAAACTATCAACCAAACACCCCCATTACATTTGCCAAGATAACAGTTCCAAGAAGAAAATGATATCCGCATGACATTTTTGAAACAAAAATGACATATTTAAAATGTCAATTTTAGTATTTTTTTTGTCTAGGAAAAAGTGAAAAACAGCTTATAAATAACTTCACAACCATCGACTTGAAAGAAGAATGAGATAAATGAATAACACTACCTGTACAAATTTTTTTTTTTTGACAGCAATCACATTAACTAGTATTAATAAGGTCATGGTCCAAAGATAAAGCAATACAAGGAGGAGGAGAAGATTGCCAAACATGGAAATCAGACATAGAACCGGCAGCTTTCGCCATATCGTGAGCTGCACGATTCGCTGATCGCCTCACATGAGAAAAATTAATACTAGTAAAACTAGTCGATAGCATTCTAATGTCGTCTACTATAACTCCATAAGCTGAATCATCATCCTTGTTGTGAATGGAATTAATAAGTTGCAGGGCATCTGATTCCATATCAATGCAGCCCCAGCCCGCATCTTTAAGCCAACTAAGTGCCTCCCTCATAGATAGAGCTTCCGCCTCCCGTGGAGTACACTCTCCCGAGTGATTAATGGCGCCCCCTGCAATGAAGACCCCCTCGTTGTTCCTAACGATCCACCCCAGGCCAACGCAGCCCATTCCTTTCCTTACCGACGCATCTGTATTCACTTTTAATCTTCATGTAGGCGGCTTCTCCCATCTCCCGGCGGCCTGCCTTTGTGTTCTTGGCATGCTCACCGGTCTTTGTGCATTACGCCACCCCTCCATATAGCTTAAAACTCCAGCAACAATACCCTCCACTGGCGTAGCTATTTTCTGCCATAAAATGTCATTTCTAGCTCTCCAAAGCCCCCAAGTTAGCATAACAAACCTGCAGCAGTCCTCCTCTCTGAAGCTTTTAAAGATGCTCTCAATCCAGTCCATAAAGATCAGATCTGTTGCTACTGCAAAGCTCCATTTCATCATGTTCCATACCTGTTGCGCTATAGGGCAGAACCTGAATGTATGCAGCAAGTTCTCCTCCCCCGAAGAACACGTGGGACAAAGCAAAGAACAACCCACCCGCTTAGCCGCTAAACTGTTAGCCGTAGGTAGGCAGCCTGCACACACTTGCCAAAAGAAGATTTTTACCTTCGGAGGGATGTTAAGTTTCCACACATTTGTCCACCCAAGGCTTTGATTATCCCCAGCATTCTGCGTTAGGAACCGATAGCTGCTCCTGACAGAGTATCTCCCGTTCTCCTCCCACCTCCAAATAACTTGGTCTTGGACTTTACGGAGACTCACCGGAATCTTAAGTATCAATTTACGGTCCCTACTATTGAACAAATCATTAAGAATATCAATGTCCCAGGCTCCTCCTCCTGCCTGTAATAAGCCTGCTACCGTACAATTTTCCAACCCCTCAATTACATCAGACTCCACTTTCGGGTTATCAGGACAAGCTAACCAAGGATCATGCCAAACATTAATTAATTCACCCTTACCCACTCTCCAGACAAACCCTTGTTTTATAAGAGATTGTGTTTCAAAAATGCTTCTCCATACAAATGATGGATTGTGCCCAAGTTTAACCTCTATGAAGGAAGAACGAGGATAATACCTTGCCTTAAGAACCCTGGCAACTAAGGAATCTGTCTGCTTAAAGATCCTCCAAGCTTGTTTTCCAAGCATTGCCAAATTGAATTCCAGCATCCTTTTAAATCCCATTCCCCCTTTTTTCTTCGGAAAACTCATCCCAGCCCAATCCTTCCAACGAATACCTCTTCCTGATGCACCTGTCCACCAAAATCCATTCATAAGTCTTTCTAATTCCATGCACATGTCACGAGGAAGCACAAAAACGTTCATTGCATAGTTAGGCATGGCTTGGACAACGGTTTTCAAAAGTACTTCTCTACCTGCTTTAGATAAAAATTTGTGATTCCACCCATTTATTCGCTTAATAACTCGTTCCTTTATGAACCCCAAAACCTCCCTCTTACTTCTGCCAACAAGAGAAGGTAGACCGAGGTATTTTGCCCCGGCCTCCATGGGCCCTACCCCTAGCATTTCCTTGAGTCCCTCCCGAACATCCCCACCAACATTTGCACTAAAATAAAGGGTAGACTTATGATAATTAATCATCTGGCCTGAAGCTTCTTCATATTCTTGTAAAACCTCCCTAATCACTGACCCCTCGCTGTGAGATGCTTTAAAAAACAGAAAACTATCATCCACAAACAATAGATGAGATATCCTAGGAGCCCCTCTAGCAACTGCCACCCCATTAAGTCTCCCCGTTCTTTCTTCCCTCCTTAATCTAGCACTTAACCCTTCCGCCACAACTATAAATAAGTAAGGCGAGAGTGGGTCACCTTGCCTAATCCCTCTGCCAGGAAAAATTGGCCCTAGCTCGGTGTCATCGAAAGGGATAGAGTATGACACCGTACGGACTGTCTCCATAATTAAGTCCACCCACTTAGATGCAAATCCCAGTCTTAACAAAATGCATTCTAGAAAACCCCATTCTACCCGGTCATATGCTTTACTCATATCAAGTTTTAGTGCCGCATACCCGTCCCGACCTTGCCTTTTATTCTTAAGAAAGTGGTGGGTTTCGAAAGCTATCATTATATTATCTACTATTGATCGACCGGGAATAAACGCACTTTGGTTCTAAGAAATAAGCCCATCAAGCATCTGTTTCATTCTATTAGCCAAAACTTTGGAGAAAATTTTATAAACAACGTTACACAATGAAATAGGTCTCCAATCGGCTACTGTCTCAGGCTTATCCTTTTTGGGGATGAGGACTATATGTGTATGATTCATTGTTTCAGGGAGCTTACCCGTAAGGAAAGTTTTCTTGCAGAAATCAACCACTTCGGGCCCCACCACCTCCCAAAAGTGCTAGAAGAAACCCGGACTAAGACCATCGGGCCCCGGACTCTTGTCAGGATGCATTGAAAAAATTGCCTTTCTAAACTCCTCTTCTCTAATAGGCCTCAAAAGGTACTGATTATGATCATCCGAGACCAAATGATCAACGGTGAACAGGACTGGATCCATATTACCCTGCAAAGAAGTAAAAATATTAGAAAAATACTCCTCCACCATCCTGCCCACTTCTGACCTCTCCTTCTCCCATCTCCCCCCTGTCACTTTAAAACCCTATATTTGGTTCCTTCGCCTCCTTTGTTTCACCGAGTTATGAAAGAATCTCGTATTCATATCGCCTTCTCTCAGCCAAAACTCTTTAGCCCTCTGTTTCCAAAAACAATTTTGTTTTTCAAGTAATTCTAAGTATTCCGCTTTCACTTTTCCAAACTCACTCAAACTAAAACTATCAATTCTGCCTCTTAGAAATTGTAGCCGTTTTTTAGAGAACTCAATCCTCCCTCTCATTCCCTTTTTTCTTTCCCCCCACCTTCCAACAGCCTCACCACATAGTTTGATTTGATTTTCTAGGCCCAGCCCTCTACTCAAACCCCAGCTCCGTTCAACAACTTCCCTACAATCCTCCTCCCTTAACCATAAATTTTCAAATTT